TCTTTTTGATCTCCTGAGTATGAAGTCTAACCTCAAGCATTTCCCTTCAGTGTTATACAATAATTGATTCGCATAGTGCATCAAGAGGGTTGTGTGTTCAAATCATGTCGGAGTCATGCGATCTCTTTTTGATCTCCTGAGTATGAAGTCTATCCTCTAGCATTTCCCTTCAGTGTTATACAATGATTGATTTGCATAGTATATCAAAGTGCTTATGGGAGAAGCACCAATCAGCTCTCCAGGACCTCGTGGCGCGAAGGTAGCGCGGCTGACTCCAGATTCGAAGGTTGCGTGTTCAAATCACCTCAGGCTTTGGCAATCTCTTCTTGATCTCCTGAGTATGAAGCCTGACGTCAAACATTTCCCTTCAGCCTTGTGCAATGATTGATTTGCATAGTGTATCAAAGTGCTTATGGGAGACGCAGCACTTAGCTCTCCGGAAACTCGTGACACAACGGTCAAGTTTCTGACTCCAAATCAAAAGGTTGCATGTTCAAGTCAGGTGAACTCTTCTTGATCTCCTGAGTATTCCATAGACTGTATAAAATCATGCTAGCGCTGAGCCAGATACAGACGCGTTTTTACAGCACTGCGCATTAACCAATCACACACGATGCTGTTGAGCTTATGAATGCAATGACCAATCAGAGGCGTTCAGATGAGTCATCGCAAAAATGCCGGTGTTTTCTTCACTTGCTCGCTGACCGAATACCTCTTTCTGGCGAATTCTCTCGTCAGTTTTTATGCATAGTTAATAGATTACATTACTAGGTTACTTTGACCATCGCCCACTATAGATCAACATAATCTATAAAGGTGAGAATCAAGATATTTCATGATATAGTTAATGCGTTTGGGGATGTTTCAAATAAAAAGGAAAAAAGAAATAAAACATAAGTGCTGTTGTGGCTGCTGTGTGTCACATGATGACCCCCCCCAACTCGTGCCCCCTCAAAAATAATGAATGCATGACGGCCCTGGTCTTCCGCACTACCAGCTGAGCTATGAATGAAGGGAAATCCTATCGCCACAACAATCCACCGTTGAGCCTACGTTTGCTTTTTGTGGTGAATTCATCAAAGGACTTAAAGGCACAATATGTAAGATTTTTTTATTTAAAAAACTTAAAAACCACTAGAACAGTGTTATTTTGCTGACTTGTGTACTTACATTATCCTAAATGTTTCGAAGAATGTTTAAATCCAGAGAAATAAGCTATTTTAACTAGAAGCACGGAACGTGTCTATAGTGTCATTGTGTCGCCTGCTAATGACGTCATAACCCCTGATTCCACACTCAGTCACGCCGTCATCAAACTACGCCTTTGTTTATTAGTTTATTTTGAATATGCGACTTCTAGCGGCGGAAATTACATACTGTGCCTTTAAGCAATTAAATTAAAATAATTCAAACAGTAAATCGACTCATTCCTTAATGTTTAAGAATTTTAATGTTTCTTAACATTTCTTAAAGTTTTTTAAATGTATTATATGATTTAAAAAAACCTTGCTATGTGTACTGCATGAAGCTAACTGAGACTTGTTATAGCACTTGCATATCATTGCTCTTTTTATTGCGTCCATTGTCCTCATTTGTAAGTCGCTTTGGATAAAAGCGTCTGCTAAATGTCTAAATGTAAATGTAATGTAAATCATTCCTGAGACTGGGAGGTCCTGCTGCTCTTGCAGTGTGGCTCAGTCCGGCCGTACTATTATGTGATGAGGGGAAATTGCGTAACGCTGCCGGCCGGAGACCAGATTTCTCAGGTATGTTATGCCTATCTTAGCCCGATCTTGAATGAGATAACCATTTTATGATCTCAAATAAAATAATACTAAATAAAAACAATGATGTCAACGCCAGTAAATCCCACAGTGTCCCTGTCGCTGTGAAACATCCGGCGCTCCCCCCGTTCCCAGCTCAGGTGGTGCGGTCGGGTTTGGAGCAGGAAGTGGAAGACTGGGGCCAGGAAAGCTGACGACTTTTTCTGTATAACTATTATCACATTCTTTATACGCGTTATTTACTTAAAGAACACTTGCATTATCGACTGTGGCATAATAAAAGCTCCGCTGCTTTCCAGCCGTGTGTCGCGCTCGTTCAGCGTCTCGTTTCGCTTCGACGGCTTTCAGCCTCACCCTGCTTCATTCTACTACGTTAATAAATCATTAGCTCATCCATGAACATGATTTCTGCCCGAGTCCCGTCGGATTGCATCGGCTGTGGGGATGAAGACCACAACTCCCATGATTCCACACTCAGTCACGCCGTCATCAAACTACGCCTTTGTTTATTAGTTTATTTTGAATATGCGACTTCTAGCGGCGGAAATTACATACTGTGCCTTTAAGCAATTAAATTAAAATAATTCAAACAGTAAATCGACTCATTCCTTAATGTTTAAGAATTTTAATGTTTCTTAACATTTCTTAAAGTTTTTTAAATGTATTATATGATTAAAAAAAACCTTGCTATGTGTACTGCATGAAGCTAACTGAGACTTGTTATAGCACTTGCATATCATTGCTCTTTTTATTGCGTCCATTGTCCTCATTTGTAAGTCGCTTTGGATAAAAGCGTCTGCTAAATGTCTAAATGTAAATGTAATGTAAATCATTCCTGAGACTGGGAGGTCCTGCTGCTCTTGCAGTGTGGCTCAGTCCGGCCGTACTATTATGTGATGAGGGGAAATTGCGTAACGCTGCCGGCCGGAGACCAGATTTCTCAGGTATGTTATGCCTATCTTAGCCCGATCTTGAATGAGATAACCATTTTATGATCTCAAATAAAATAATACTAAATAAAAACAATGATGTCAACGCCAGTAAATCCCACAGTGTCCCTGTCGTTGTGAAACAAGCCTCCCTCTCTCCCCCCGTTCCCAGCTCAGGTGGTGCGGTCGGGTTTGGAGCAGGAAGTGGAAGACTGGGGCCAGGAAAGCTGACGACTTTTTCTGTATAACTATTATCACATTCTTTATACGCGTTATTTACTTAAAGAACACTTGCATTAAGGAAGGCATCGAAGTACACTGTAAGTGTAAAGACGTGATGTTACATGTTTAACGAACAAACCCCGAACGCGAGCGTTATTTCTCAGCAGTCCGCATTTATTCCGCTTTATTTGCTTGCATAGATCAGATTTAAGGTGAGCTGTAGGCTGTATATTAAAACCAATTCATCTGGTTCGTCTGCGTGTATTTGTCGCGTGGCATCTTCATTCACACATTGCATTAATTAACATTAATTTAGCAGTAAAGATATTTGTAGAGATGACTAACTTTACTAGTTCCACCGCCAACCGACGTATTTGTGGTTACCACCTAGTGGCCTAGCTAGGCGTCTTCCTCACTTGACCTGACACCCTAGATAGTGAGCGTGCAGTGTGTTCTCATGTCTGTCTGCATGATCTAAAACAGATGTGTGTGCAGTACACTGGTGTTGTGTGTTGTCAGGTCATGTGGAAGGCAGCTGCAGGTCAGTCCGTCTCTGTTGCAGTGGATGATGGAGGAGATGATTGGGAGACAGACCCGGACTTTGAGGTTACAAACTCTCTCTGGTTTCCTGTGCATCACTTCTCAAACCGTCTTCATTCATGCATTAAGTGTTTTTCTCCACTGATGTCTCATTTTTTTCCACCAAATACCAGAATGATGTATCAGAGAAGGAGCAGCGCTGGGGTGCCAAGACTGTGGCTGGCTCCGGCCATCAGGAACACATCAAGTTAGTCAAGCTTCCATAATATAAACTATTATATATATATATATATCCGGGTCATATATAATGTATGTGTGTGTATGTATAAAACAGAAAAACACTAATATTGTGAAATATTATTGCAATTTAAAATAATGGTTTTCTATTTTAATATACTTTAAAATATAATGTATTTCTGTGATGCGCAGCTGTATTTTCAGCATCATTACTTCAGTGTCACATGATCTTCAGAAATCATACTAATATGCTGATTTATTACATTTTTGCTGCTTAATATTTTTTTGGAACCTGTGATACTTTTTCAGGATTCTTTGAATAAAAAGTTAAAAAGAACAGCATTTATTCAAAATAGAAATGTTTTGTAACAATCTACCCCATCATTCAAAAGTTTGGGGTCAGTAAATCTTTCTTTTCTTTCTTTCTTTTTTTTTTTGAAAGAAATGCTTTTATTCAGCAAGGATGTGTTAAATTGATAAAACGTGATGATAAAGACTTTTATTGTTAGAAAAGATTTCTATTGTAAATAAATGCTGTTCTTTTTTACTTTATTCATCAAAGAATCCTGAAAAAGTTTCACAGGTTCCAAAAAAAAATAATATTAAGCAGCAACAGTTTCCAGCACTGATAATAAATCAGCATATTAGAATGATTTCTGAAGATCATGTGACACTTTATACTGGAGTAATGATGCTGAAAATACAGCTTTGATAACAAATAAATTATATTTTAAAGTTAAATATTTTAAATGGTTATAATATTTCACATATTAGTGTTTTTTTACTGTACTTCTGATTAAATAAATGCAGCCCTGATGAGCAGAAGAGACTTCTTTAAAACACATAAATCTTACTGATCCCGAACTTTTGAACAATAGTGTGTATATTGTATATTTATATATATATGTAAGTTTTTATATATTTATGTATATGTATGTTTATTTATAAATATTTTTGAAAATGAAAGGGCAAATCAAATAATATTAAGGAAACAAATTTCTGTTGAGAGTTTAATCGTATCATTGATGTTAGACCAGTGACAGGTTGCTAGTCTTACTAGTTAATATTTCTTTCTTTAAGACTGGTCTCAACCTTTTTTTCTTAAGTCACGTAAAAATGTAGATCGGTCTGATTTGAATCTGAAAAATAAGACTTATAAACCCTAGTTGGTCAGACTAGTTCTCAAGACACCATCTTAACAACAGGCTAGGTTTATATAACTGGCCCCAGCTTTTCACCTGAACATGATAATTTACGTAATTAATTTCCCCCTGATTTATTCAGTATTCATAAGCTGCGTGAGAGAGTGTCGTCTGAACACAGTGAGCTGAAGCAGAAGGAGCTGGAACACATGCCCAAAGCGTCTCACGGTTATGGAGGGAAGTTTGGACTGCAGCAGGACCGCATGGATAAGGCAAGAGGCTTTGCTCTTATAATTCACTTCTCTGACGCAGGGGAAGTAGAGCATCGCTCGCTCTTGCAGTGAGAGTGAGTGTGAGCGTGAGTGCGTGCCTGCGTGTGTGTGCGTGAGTGTGTGAGCGTGTGAGTGAGCGTTTGAGTGTGTGAGCGTGAGTGTGTGCGTGAGCGTGTGTGTGAGTGTGTGTGTGTGTGTGTGAGAGAGTGAGCGTGAGTGCGTGTGTGCGTGCGTGTGCGTGCCTGCGTGAGTGCGTGAGCCTGTGTGAGCGTGTGAGTGAGTGTGAGTGAGTGAGTGTGTGTGTGTGTGAGAGAGTGAGCGTGAGTGTGTGTGTGTGTGAGAGAGTGAGCGTGAGTGCGTGTGTGCGTGCGTGTGCGTGCCTGCGTGAGTGCGTGAGCCTGTGTGAGCGTGTGAGTGAGCGTGTGAGTGAGTGTGTGTGAGTGAGTGTGTGAGTGAGTGTGAGCATGTGAGTGTGAGTGTGTGTGTGTTTGAGTGTGTGAGTGAGTGTGTGAGTGAGTGTGAGCGTGTGAGTGTGAGTGAGTGAGTGTGTGAGTGAGTGTGTGAGTGAGTGTGAGAGAGAGAGTGTGTGTGTGAGTGTGCGCGTGTGTTTGTGTGAGCGTGTGTGTTTGTGTGAGCGTGTGTTTGTGTGAGCGTGTTTGTGTGAGCGGCTTGACTCACATCGCTTGACACGCCCACATTCCGTCGCCAACGGTCACTGTCGCTCGTGTCGCCGGAAGTCGCCAGCTCTCCATTGAAAATGAATGGGATTATGTCGCTCTGTCGCTGTGTGTCGCTGGCGGTGTGAACGGGGCTTTAGTGTGTGTTTTCTTCCAGAAGTCCTGTCACAGTAGAGTATCTGACATGTTCGTTTATGTGCTGGACTCATAATGAGAGGATCTGTTGTAGTTTCTGCAAAGCTTTATTAAAGTGAAGTGTGCTGAAAATTGGAGAATGTTCAAAACGGTTAATGGTACATTTTACTGTATCTTTCGATTGACTTTAAAACACTCAGAATGAGAAATGAGTTTAGAAAAATAAATAAACTTGTTTCCAAATTAAAGTTGGTTGATCAGCTTACTTTATTACAGATTATATCATGATTATACCACAAGATATTAATTAGAGCTTTGATTTTCTCAGTCTTTTTGCATGAAAGTCCATAGATTTATATGATGTAGATGTTACACTGGAGACCACCTCTCTTTCATTGTATTCCTTCATTCATTGGGACTGAAGCATGTGTTGTATTTGCAGTCTGCCGTGGGACACGAGTATCAGAGCAAGCTGTCCAAACACTGCTCCCAGACGGACACCTCCAAGGGTTTCGGAGGTAAATTCGGCGTGGAAGCTGACCGTGTTGACCAGGTAACTCCTCAGATCTTCAGTGGACGGGTGAGTGTTTCTGCGGTCAGGTTCACACTCAGTGATGTGCTGTTTTCCTGCAGTCTGCCGTGGGCTTTGAGTATGCCGGGAAAACCGAAAAACACGCTTCGCAGAAAGGTGGCTCTCTCTCTCTCTGTCTTTAAGATTCACTGTTCCAGTGTTGATTGTGCTGCAGTAAGAGCCGCTCATGTTGTGTTGTTTCAGACTACGCCACGGGGTTCGGGGGCCGCTACGGCGTGCAGGAGGATCGCGTGGACCAGAGCGCTGTCGGCTTTGATTATCAGGGGAAAACAGAAAAGCACGAGTCACAGAAAGGTGTGTTCCTGCTTCCCTGGCCCTCTCTGGACGTATGGTTGTGTTATTAAAGCTTTCTGCCTCTTAAATCTACAGATTACACCAAAGGCTTTGGTGGCAAATTTGGAGTGGAGACGGATAAAGTGGACAAGAGCGCCGTGGGCTTCGAGTACCAGGGGAAGACTGAGAAACACGAGTCTCAGAAAGGTTTGTGTCACATACCGTTTCACCGGAGTTTAACAATACAGATTTATGAAAGATTTTAGTGTTATTTTCCTTTAAGTTGGGGATAATACTGCTAATAAAGCAATAAGCCCCAAGAAGCCGTGGTTTACAGTGAATTTATAACAGCTAAGGGGGTTTTAGGCACTCCACTTCAACGCCCCTTAGCTGTTATAAATTCACTGTAAACCACGGCTTCACGAGGCTTTTATAAAACGGTTATTCCATATACGTAGTAAGGTTTCACAAAATAAAACGGAGCAAATAAAGTGACTCATAGTAATTTGGTTTGTGTAAGACTATGTAAGGGGCTTCGGAGGGAAGTTTGGCGTTCAGACGGACCGTCAGGATAAGTCTGCGGTGGGATGGGATCATCAGGAGAAACTGCAGCTGCACGAGTCACAGAAAGGTAAAAGACACCACACACTGTCTGAGGTCTGTTTGTGCAGCGAGACGAAACCAGCGGAACAATATGCAGTACTTAAACTGTTTTGATGAAGTGTTATAACAAGGTCTGGATGTTATAGCTATTCTGATGGTATGATGCTGTTCGGTCATTTTTGCACAAAATAAAACAGAGCAAATAAAGTGTAATGATATTAATAAAAACAGTATTCTTCCACCAAACAATGTAGCTCCTCAGAAACAGTTGTGGTTGTAACAAAGTGGTTGCCGAGCAACACACAAACATAAACAAATGTGTATGTTACTTTGTAGAGTCATTTACAACAGCTTCGAACGCGGCTCAGCCAATCAGAATCAAGCACCGGAACTATCCGTTTTATAATAGTAGTTCTGTTTTAGACTCATAGTTATTTGGTTTGTGTAAGACTATGTAAGGGGCTTCGGAGGGAAGTTTGGCGTTCAGACGGACCGTCAGGATAAGTCTGCTGTGGGATGGGATCATCAGGAGAAACTGCAGCTGCACGAGTCACAGAAAGGTAAAAGACACCACACACTGTCTGAGGTCTGTTTGTGCAGCGAGACGAAACCAGCGGAACAATCTGCAGTACTTAAGCTGTTTTGATGAAGTGTTATAACAAGGTCTGGATGTTATAGCTATTCTGATGGTATGGTGCTGTTCGGTCATTTTTGACCAATACATTTTTTTTTTGTTGTACTTCATCAGAATGGTACGAAAGGTTTTTGCACTTGCTATGTAAAAAATTAAAAAATAATCATGGAAATGATTTAAAAAGGTTAAATGGTCCTGAAAAAAACAAGTCACACTTGTATTGTTTGCGGCCAAAAACGACTGTGTTGGAAATGAATGTGAAGTGAATTTCATCTAGTGGAAACGTTTGGTACTGCACCCAAACCAAATCTTACTTCGAGATCTCAACTTCAAAATCAGAACACAGCTTGTTTAGATTTATGGCTTTGAGTATAACATTTTTTGGAAAATATATATTTCACACCTTTTTTCTTAGTTTAATTTTTAAAACTTTTTTTCAGCAATAATCTGCCAAGAGTCGTCTTTAAAAAGAGACCAAACTTAATTCTGTGCTCCAAAGCATTCACAGCGTTTCCGCGGGTCCTTAAAAAGTCTTAAATTTAGTTTTATCAAATTTAATCCATAAACAGTCTTAAATTGTACATGAAAGTCTTAATTATGTTTTCAGAGGTCTTCAATTTGTGGACGGAAAGACCAGAATTGCGACACGGTTTAATGTGACGAATAATACATAGTCTGTGAGGAGTCAGAGGAAATGAAATGAGATCCATTCCTTTTGAGCTGTTGATTTAAAAACTAAAACTGTAGCCAGAACATTCCTTCCTCCGCCATTTTCAACAGCGATCGAGCTTTCAGGAGACGCTGCATTGTTGTTCCCACGAGTCCTCTACAAGTAAATGATGACCGTTCTAAACCTGTATTACTCCGTTTCTTCTGTGGGAAGAAGAAGAAGATATTTGAAAGATCTTCAAACTGTTTTAGTGATCATTGACTAATCATGTTTTTATGTTCCACAGAAGGTTTGAACAACTTGGGTGAAATATTGCTTTGACATGCACTCGACATGAATGTGCAAGAAATCCCCATTTGAACTGTTTATTTTCCTCCGTTGTTATAGATTATGCCAAAGGATTCGGCGGGAAGTATGGTGTGCAGAAAGACCGAATGGACAAGGTGCGTTGATCAAATCATTACAGTTAACACATAGATGAGACTTTTGTGTTCGGTGTTATTGTTTTTACATGCGGTCAGAACGAGAATGACGGTTGTGAAAAATGTGTGTGCGTTGGTGTTGTCATTGCTCTCGTCTTCAGAGCGCCGGCAGGTTTGAGGAGGTGGAGAAGCCGAGCGCGGCGTATCAGAAGACCCGTCCTGTGGAAGCAGGTCAGGAGAAACGCACACGCTATAATGAATAAATCACGGTTTGTAGCGCTCGACTGAAGACGTGCTGCGCTCATGTTTAGCTGGCAGCGGCGCTGGAAGTATTAAAGCTCGTTTTGAGAACATTGCGAAGCAGAAGGAGGAGGAGGACCGGAGGAGAGCCGAAGAGGAGCGCGCTAGACGACAGGCCAAAGAGAAGCAGGAGCAGGAGGAGGCGCGCAGAAAACAAGATCTGCTCGTGAGTCAACACGCGTCTGCTAGTAAACTATATGATGTGACTCTTACTTTACACTCTTATATAAGAGCTGAATTTGGCCTGAGATAAATAGCATTTCTTCTCTGAACTCTGTCCCGTACCACCAAATTACAGAGATAAGAAATTGTGCATGAAACACATGGAGTCTCCTGTGTGTCATTATTCAAATCTTGTTTACTGTCTCATTCAAATTTAACATGTTACTGTAGTAATTTGCCGTAATTGTACTTGTATCGTACTCTAGCTGTTTTAATGTGTAGTCTAGTTGCTACAAAGTGGTTGCCGAGCAACACACAAACGTAAACAAAGGTGAATGTTACTTTGTAGAGTCATTTACAACAGCTTCGAACGTGGCTCAGCCAATCAGAATCAAGCACCGGAACTATCCGTTTTATAATTTTAAATGAATCACAGATGGTTGTCATTCACTGCGGTGCATCAACAGACATTTAGAGATTTTACATTAATAGGCATTACTATTAAAAATTAAATGTTAAAAAATCGTTTTTACTGTGGAGGCAGAAACCTTAATGATGTAGTTAGTCATATAATGAGACGGTCTCATTCTAGTGTTTAATGCTGAGCAGTCTAGACTAAAAGTCTGAGAAGGACTGCACCGGTTATTCTTGTGGAGCGTTGATTTAAAGATCTGCTGTTCACTGATCTCGTCTTCTGATAGAAGTCGTGTCTTTGGAGTTCAAATCTTACAAAGTGATTCAGAAATTCATCTTAAATAGATTGATCTTAATTATGAGGGCGGGTTTTTTGTGTGTTGATATTAATGATTAACAATAGATGAGCTGTTCCGATTGCTTTAATACTGATCGTTAATCATTAACATCCCTACACAATACTTGCTGACTAGTTTCATTATTGATACGTTGCTCAAAAACCTGCTTGCTGAATCCATTTACTATATATATATATATATATATATATATAGTTTTTGAGTCTCTTATTTTATTTTAATTTGTAATTTTTTTAGCACTTAAACTAAATGAGAATGAGAAATGTTGCCTTGGTAACTAGCTGAATTAAGTGTTTTAAAAAATAAAAAAAAATTATTTTATTTCAAGTAATATTATTTTTAAGTGTTTTTATGTGGTTTTAGTTGACAATTATTGTCTGCTAGTCACATAAGCACACAATTTGTAAAGGCCATGAAATGTGGCCATATAGTAGCATCTCGTCTCATTTAAAATGATTTATCAATACATTTTGAGCATCCCTGCGCTGATGCGTCCTTTAACAAGCTTTAGCGTGTGGTGATTTATAATGAGCCTGCTCTTGTGTATGTGCCGCATGAGAGGCACAGAGAGTGTCGGTGGATCGCAGCAGAATACTGTGACTGAAGAAATCCCCGTGCTGGGATCATGTCTGATGCGCTTCTGAGAGTCTGTGCTGTGTCCGTCAGGTGGAGCCCGTCACTGAGGCGGTGGAGAACGGTGCAAACCTCTACGAGGTGGAGCCGGTCTCAGAAGAACCCACATATGAAGAACCGGTCCAGGAAGAGCTGTACCAGAACCCTGAGCCGGACGAGCAGAACCAGACCTCAGGTGCGCTCACACCTCCTGACACCCTCACGTTAAAGCTACACAACCTAACTTCTGTTTGTTTTAAATCATGAGCAAGTACAACATAAAAATGTATAAATCCATCTTACAAACAGTGTTTGTCCATCCCTGATTGACTCTGGGAAGCCTGTAAAGCTGATTTATATTTTACAGATTTCACTGGAAATGGCGTATTTCTGTCATTCATCTGTGTTTATGCACATCAGATGCATAAATAAAGGCAGCTATAATAGTTTCCAACATTTTACTGCCTAAAATGTACTATTATTACAAACGTAATAATTCAAAACAATTATTATTTCTTTAGTTATTTATTTATTTATTTTTCCTGGCTGTTTGATGTTAGTGACGTTTGCAATAATGAGATGATGAGCTGTAATCATGGGTACATCGATACACCTCAGATGATCAGATTAGTGCAGAATAGCAGCCGCTGGTGTAGCTTTCAGCGTAAGCTCCTGTTCTGGGCTGGTTTGGGCAGGTGTGTGTTCTCTCAGTGACGTGTCTGTGTCTGTGTGTGTGTGTGTGTTATGTGTCTGTGTCTGTGTGTGTGTCTGTGTGTGTGTGTCTGTGTCTGTTGTGTGTGTGTGTGTGTGTGTGTGTGTGTGTGTGTGTGTGTGTTATGTGTGGGTGTGTCTGTGTGTGTGTGTGTGTGTGTGTCTGTGTTTGTGTGTGTTATGTGTGGGTGTGTCTGTGTGCGTGTGTGTGTTTCAGGTGCTCAGTCGTACGAGTTCGGGGAGGATCTTGGCATGACTGCCGTGGCTCTGTACGACTATCAGGCTGGTGAGTGAACAATCTGATGAGTTTGACTTTACAAACTGTGGCTTAGAAGATCATAGTATTGCACTAAACATTTTACAGTGTTTACACTGTATGTGAGCGGCATGACACCAAAAAATAGATCACTCCTGTTATACCAAAATAAAAAACATAAAATGTAAATGGGTATGGACCATTTAGACTATATCCAAGAAATATTAGATCTGCTATAAAAAATGTGATTTTTTTTTTTGTACTTTTGAAGCTTGTGTTTGCCAAGGGATAAAAACATAAACAGGTAATTGTGGTTTTTGATCTCACAAATCTGACATCTTTTCTTGAGACAGAACATTCATCTGTTCTGAGAGGAAAAAGTCATAATTGCCAGATTTACACTCACAATTGCAAGATAAAAAGTCAAAACTGTGAGATGAAAAGTAAAAAATTTTTATTCTGTGGCATAAACAAAAAAAAAAAGTACGAATTGTGAAGTGAATCCCACAATTTAGGGAAAAAAAGGCAGAATTGTGAGATGAAAAGTAATTGACTTTTTTATTATTCCGTGGCTGAAACAGAAGGGAGTCATGTAGCGTGCCTCTGTTTCTCTCCAGCGGGAGACGACGAGATCTCCTTCGATCCGGATGACGTCATCACCAACATCGAGATGATCGACGAGGGCTGGTGGAGGGGCGTGTGTCGGGGCACATACGGACTCTTCCCAGCCAACTACGTTGAAGTCCGACAGTAGACTCGCTCCATGCGCTCTTTACACGGCGGACGTCGCTGAAGGAGAGTCATGCTTCCAGTCCATTATCAGCCCTGCTTTCTCTTCTGTCACTGTAGCATGTCGAGCGTTCGCCGGTCATTCTGCTTCCTTCAGCTCAACTCTCACTTCCTGTTTCACGTCAGCAGGTGTGTGCGCTTCACTGGATCCAAGAGATTTTATGACACATCTGAGAGTTTCACTCACACACACATATATACATCAGTATGTGAAATAAGAGACCAGAGATCCGATCTTCTGGCATGTTTTAGAGAAATAATGTCACACAGACGGCTTCTTTGACTCCTAAAGCTGCGTCCGTACGAACACTTTTAGCTCATTTCCGTGTCTTTTTGCAGTGTTGGAATAGGGAGCATCTGAATTGATAAGTTTAAAAATATGAATGATAATAATCAATGAAGGCCAAAATATAATGCCATAATCCGTCACTGCTAGAATTCTGCATCACGTCTGAGTACAGGATGAACAGACATTCCATCGCAGTGTTTGAAATCATTCATAAAAATCACTTTGGTAATATTTGAAGGGTTGTGTATTTAAATCAGATGTTAATGCGTTATGTGGCGTGAACTGTATGTCTGTCTGATTTGCATAGTCTCTGTGTTCTGATTCATCTGGACTCGCTCTCGATGTGGCAGATTGATCTTTCTGTGAGTGCATGACATTTCTGTCTGTGACGCTGAATTATATCGAATGATCTGGTGTTTAATGACAATCCACACAGGAGCAGAGGAGTTAATACTGTTTAATGGCTTAGCAGCAACTAATGACATAATCTGTGTTTTGTTAAGTATTTTAGTTAAGTAACCTTTTCAAACAAATTATGTGCTTATCTATACTGGCTCTCTTTACAAGGCTGTTTTATAAGAAATATCATTTAAGAATAAAAAAATAAAACTAGTATTCTTAGTATTTTTCACAGTCCATTACGCAGCCACACCCTCCGTGTTTGAAACATTATTTCTCTTGCAGTAGTTTCCATCAAGTGCATGTGTTTGTGAGACGCATTGATGCACAGGAACAGAGCTCAACTGGAGCGATGTTTATTTCTTTCAGATTTGTTTGCCATACAAGGTGTAACTGCGCTCAAACTCGCAAATCCTACTGTTTTCTTGGTCATTGCAATGAGTTAGTAATTCCATTTTAGAAGATCTTACAGCGACATTAACAACGTGAACAAGTCTTTAATCAAAGTAAAGCAAAATAGGTTAAAGTCAAAGGAAAAAATCATAGCTAAACAATTAGGGATTGACAAATCTATAGATAAACCAGCAGTGTTTTATCAGGTGAACATTGTGCTTCTTTAATGATGTGATGGGAACATTATCTAAATATACACAAAATGTATTATCCATAGTATAAATATATTGCTTTTTTTGGATTTGCTATATTAAGAATCTATACCCATTTTATTTAAACATTTTACTTTTTTGGCAAACCACACTTAAGTGGGAACAATACCATTGAAACTGCATTTAGAAAAGGCAATATAATAATATAAATTGAAAATACTCTCTTATTCTATTGTATGCTATCAGAAGACGATCTATTTTATAAAATGTCTATTTTCACAGTAGCAGCAGTGTATTGGCAAACCTTCGTTCAGGAAAAGCTTGCGATTTTTAATTTCTGGCCCACATTTCAAAAATATTGTTCTATATTGACTCGTACTCAGAATCTCAGCAGCAGGTGATGGCAAACATATCGTTTCTCGTTTCAGAGACATTACCACTATCAATACTGCAGTGAGTGGCACATACACAAATCTAAATAAAAATGTAAAAAGTAATCATTGACTCAATTTTCCCAGTGTATGTTGGCTAAGAAACAAACATGGTTCCAAGTTGCAGAATAACAAAAGCTGCTTAATATAGCCTCTGTTAAAGAAAGAAAACCCACTTGACTCACGGAATCTCTCCAAAACCACAACTCGCATTAAAATAGTGAATTTCCATTTCATTCCAAGCTATTTTTAAATGTGTAATTGATCTTATTGTGAGCTATTCATCTATGCATACATTTCATTTTTCATAGTCGTTTTGATGTCACAACTGGATCTTCAGCTGAAATATCAGACTCTAATCATTCAGTCCGTTTGAACTCCACCACTTTCTTAGGCCTGGGACACACTAGATGATTTTCAGTTCTTAACCGATTTTAAAACCATGGGAGACCACAGACATGAAGACAGTTTCAACCGTGACTAGAGAAGAAAAACACATAGAGGACAATCGACGTTGTCAGCTGGCGCGCATTCTGTTGTACAGTGAAAAACAAAATAGAAAAAAAAAAGAATATGGGTAATGTTCTTTCTCAGTACTCTACATTCGTGGCATGTTTGTGGCTGCCAAGTTTCAGCTATAGGCGCATGCAACATCTGCAAATCGGCCTTAAAATCTTTAAGTGTGTGACCAGCCTTACAGTCCTCGGAAACCTCATAGTCAGATCCACCTTCATCCAATCAATATCACAATCCACAACCAAGTCACAATATAAAAAAAAGCTCTGTCGCTACCTTAATGCGAGGCTATTATAGATGTTATTTGATCCATGGCAGCTGATAAGCACAATAATAATTACACCTGATTTATGAGCTACGCCACAAGCTCTCATTAAGAACGTTCTTCCTCTCAAGCCTTATGTTTTTTAATTCTCTATATCTTGGCATATCTGCAGCAAGAACACAAAAAATATCCTTTTTGTATAGGGAAATGTTAGGGAAAGCATATGTGTATTTTTTAGCATTTAATTTTCGCCGACAGGATCAGACAAAGCTGTACGTGACCCCGTCCTCATTCAATCTCATGAAAATCAAGAAGCATCAAGGATGAAGAGCGGCTTCACTAGTGCCACCATCCCTTGCACTTATCTGGAATATTAAGGGTGTGAATACATGTTCCTGCTCAAGCCTGAGTGAATTTAACGTTTTCAGCTAACCTTATTTTATAAGGACAAAACAACAGTGCTCTTCTGGGTATCCATGTTCTCTGCCACATACAGGACGCTTGCAGAAAACATCTGGAATTAAATTTTCCCAGAAATAGCTGTATCAAAGCTAAAAAAGAAAGGACCTCCAAGCTCTGCTGGTTAGAGACAAGCTCCAGACATTTAAACAAAGCTTTTGATGGCAAGAACAAGTCCTCTTAGAAGTGTTCCTGAGTGCAGTTCTGCATCCATGGTACTTACTGTGCCTCTGAATACAATACAGAGAACATCGCCCCACACTTTTCAACAGATGCAACACAGTTAGGCTGAAAGAAGCTGGAGAAAACGAGGGATTGATCGAGCCAATATCCATGCCAAGCACTGTACCGAGTGTATGCACCCTTTATCTGTCCATTAGAAGTTTGAGACCCCTTTCAATGTTCATCCGGTGACCAACACGGGTGACACCCAAGTCTACAAGGTCTTCCTTTTGGAGGTTGGGAAGGTGGGTGCCCTCAATTTCATTGTCCAAGAAGGCCTTCTTGTGTTCCTGCAAGTTGAGGCTTTCAAGCCAGTTGGCTACATCGTGCTTGGTCCAGAGTAGGATGGGTTTGTCGGCAAAGGGCTTGTCTGAAGCCTGAAACAGCGTGAGAGGGGACGGCGATCGACTGCTGACTGAGCTGAAGCTGTAGCATTGCTCTGCATTCAAAATGGGTGGAGATGGCAGGCTAAATACATCTGTTAATGTGGGGGAGGCGGCAGAGCCTGGCAGAGAAGAGCAACGACCAGATTCAGGAGGAGGCGAGGCTGGACTGGAAGCCTGAAGGGGCAAGTGGCTCGGGGTTATTGAGGGAACTGTGTTGCTGCGTTTGGTACCTGAGGCTTGGGCCGTCCACTCTCTGAGAACACACACACACAGAAAGAGAAGTCAGATGCAGAACAGGTTGTGAGGCTCATTGAGTTTCATTAAGGAAAAGAACAAAGCTCTCTAGCATCATCCAACAACAACATTCACTATATCAATACATGTGGCTCAAAAGACACCACCCCAGACAGCAACATAGTGTTGGCCCAGATCCGGCCCACACTTGTGAAATCCATGCGGGCCAGATGTGGGCCGGATCTGGGCCGACACTGGTTGCTGTCTGGGACTGCACTGCGCCCATTCAAAGAGAATGAACAGATCACTCAGTTATGTCCAGTGTTGATCCACCTTTATATCATTACAAATACAAGGACATTTGTTTGAGCAGGAATTCCAGTCTCAGAATGTGCTCCCAGATCTTCTGAAACATGAGTGTACAACTTACTTTGCTTTGACTCTTTTGTCTTGTTAGTCTGTCTCAAATTTCATGAGATAAACATTCGGAGAGTTTGCAACCAAAACATATTTTTTAGTTTCTGGGCAAACAGAGAGAGATTAGGAGATAAAATGACAAAAGGACTCTATGCTGGGATTTTCTCAGTATTGTAAATTCATCAATTCATATATTCCTACGGAGGTCATGACTCTAATGAAATTAAGATATACCAAGATAAATTGTTGAGAATGTTTGTTAAAGCACGTTTGTCCAGTCCTGCTCCTGGAGAGACACCTTCCAGCAGAATTCAGCTCCAGCCATAATCAAACACTTGAACCAGGATCAAGGTGTTCAGTTTAGTCTTTGCAACTTTACAGATCTTCTTTATGCACCAAGAGCTTGTAACACTTCAAAGAGAAAGGAAAACTTGAAATCGCATCATATGACCCCTTTAAAATTACAGGCAGGTGTGTCCTGGAGCAGGGTAGGAACTGAAATCTGCGGGAAGGTTGGCTATCCCTGCAATAAAAGATTACCTCATAGCTGGAACATTTGGCTGTGGTTTAATCTTTTTTCATTTGTTGTCCTTGATCTACCCCAAGAGTGTCTAATCCACACATCAATATACACAGCTTTCTAGTTCTAGTCCACGGGTGACCTTTAGACAGCTTGTATATTGCTAGAAGTGAGACACTGTCCTAATTTTTGCCACATTTTTCTGATCTCATTTGATTATTTTGTGCAGGAATGTTGCTTTTTCAATAAATGGCACCTGGGACAGACTAGGCTGTTATTGTGCTGCTCACCTTGATCCAATGCTTCTGGATCCTGCAATCTGTTTTGGAAATCTGTCCTTGTTCATCTGCTGAAGTTTGGAGCTAAGGTCATTGATCACATTGGCTTTAGGACCTGCATTGGGTAAGAGGGGGTTTGGGAGCTCATGGTGGTCCCAGAGTTTAGTGCCTCGCTGAGCAAGTTTTTTGCGAAGTTCAGATTGTGCTCCATAACCCAGGTATGGCGGAGGGGCTGGTGGTGGCTGTCCGAAGGACTCTATGCTCTCGTGTATCCTATCGTGCAAAGGGTCCCTGTAAAGTGCATTGCTTTTGTTGATTGTGGGCTTCGTTTTTGGCTTTGGTGGAACAGGTGGTCGGTCCACCAAAAGAGTCTGCCCATCTGCATAGTATATACATGTGTCATCAATTCCCTCTGATGAAAGAGTAGAAATACTGGACACTGTGGAAACTGTACCGTTGGCCTCAAAGTGAGGGTCCCCATTATTCCGACTGTCAGCTTCCTCAATGCCTGAGTCCGTGACGGGCTCAAACATTTCTGGAGGTGGTGGAGGGTAGGTGTGAGGAGTCGTGCAGTTTACAAGCCCCGAAAGACACTTGGACTCCACACTGTCAGTTGTATAAGCACGTGAATGATAAACAGGCATGGGTCCTATTATGTTATTCTTTTTCTGCTTGAGAATTTCTGCTACCTGGTCCTCAGGAACATCAATGCTGTTGGCAAACTCCAGAGGTGGAGGCAAGGGTTCAAACTCCTCATCAATATCCACTGAGGTCATTGGGGGAGGAGGAATGGTACAGGGAAGCTTGACAGGCTCCTCCACAGAGGTGGCAGAGGTGACGACGTTCCTTGTATGAGGTGGCCGGGAGTTGGGGGCTGTAAGTTTGACGTTGTACTCAATGGGTGCACTGACCATTTCTGGGGACTCTTCTTGTTCTAATCTATCAGGCTGAGTGTTTACTTGTGGCTTGGCCTTATCTTGTGTGTGGACCATGAGGAGCCCCGATGACTGCTGTTGTGATGTGTTATTGGAGTTCTTCGACTGCTCAGATGGATTTCTTTCCTTTGCCTTTTCTGTTTCATGATTGGACTCTCTTGTGTGTCTAAACAAACCTCCACAATCTTTTGGTTGACCCACTGAAGCTGTGGCAACAAAGTTGGCATCAATATTGGACCGTAGCTTGGTGTCTATGAAGAGTGGCTGGTTGAGGTTTGCTTTGTGAGGTTCTCTTTTAGGTGGAGGAAGTGGGGGTTGCACGTGCTCCTTCAGAGCTCTATTACTTAAAGCTAGACCCAGAGCAAAGGGTGGACAAATATCACAAGTCTTTCCTAATGTCTGGTTTTGGAAATCTCCATCGAGACTGATGGGACCGTCTGTATTGGGGAAGCTCCTGGTGCGTGTTGTGAGGGGCTCAGTTGTTGGTTCTGGGATGGTAAAGCCAGCCATGTTGCCTCCACTTACAATTTGCTGGTGCTCTAATAAAGAAGCCGGTGGAGCCATAAGCTTTTGTAAACTCTTATCGCTGGCAAACATGCCTTCATCTATGGACATAGACTGGCGTAAACGAGGGGTTGGGATAAATGGATCCTCATCTCCGAGATCCATCGACAGGAAGGCTGGGGAGTTCTTGCGTGCTTCAAGCCGCTTCTCACGGTGACGTACTGCCCCTGCAATAGCAGCTGCAAAAGGGTTGCTCACGATGTGACTGCCGTCTGGCCGTAGTTGGCCTGGCTGCTCGGAGGCACTAGTCTCAATTTCCATGCTACTTCCCCGGCTGCTTTTGCCACTACTGCTAGTTGAAGGCTCTTTGACAATAATGGTTGGTATTGGGATTGAACATGTTTTCTCAGGGCTATCCTCAACATTTGGCTGCTTTACCAATATACCCTTCCTACGAGCTGGTTTTGGTGGGATATACAAAGGTTTGCCAACTATGTCTGAATATGGGTTCTCTGGCACATGGGCTCTGTTATGGGAACACATGTTTTGCTGGGCAGCCGAAGGAGTTTGACAGTCATATTGTTCAAAGTTCTGGCGATGGTACCCATGTGATGCCATCTTACAAAACAACAATTCATCCTAACATATGGAAGCAGAAATATCACTCCCTCGTCGTGCATCAGTTCTGGGCTCCCCTATCAAAGTTAGGTTTGGGAATAAAGAAATGTTTTTTTATTCACAGTAAAATAATGCAAAGACTATAAATAGACAACTTCATCTCGAATCGTCCTTCCTGGTTGCACGCAGCAACAAACATACAGTGACCAGTGCAGGATGATCGGGTTCTTTTGAAAGGAATATTCTCGGTTCAAAGGTTAAGCTCAATCAATAGTGGCAAAATGTTGATACCCAAACTTTATGACATTTTTACTTATTATTTAAGGATCAGAAGAACTGAACTGTTGCTTCATTTATCCAAGATATTCAGAAAACCAAAAGCGAATTAATATCTCGTGGCCACGATATAATATCACATTCCCACGAGTTAATATGGCGTTCCCATGACAAAACTAAGTGAGCCGAACATGTCCCCTCCCGGGCACCGTAGTGTACACTAAGCAGGGCTCTCACCTCAATGAGAAAGTCCCCCGTGCGGAGCCCCATCAGCCAGGCGTCGCCGCCCTCATCCACAGACTCCAGGTACTGCAGCGCGGGGAACGCAGGAGTCGGGATGAACTCCTCGATGGGTGTGTCTGCTGTGGAACCCAAAAAACAACAGAGCCTTCGTGTTACGATGATGCCAGCTTCACGTGACGTCTGATTTATTTCTGTTGCACGCTCTCAACGACTCACAAAGTACAATCTGACCCCGAATTAACTCTCAGGACAAAAGCAAACTACATTGACACATACACAAAGGGAAAAGGAAGCTACACAGGAGTGGGTTAACTGAAATATAAAAGCCTCTGCATGTATTTTTCATGTGCGAGTGTGTAGATTTCACCGAGTTGCTCCTTCCCTTCGGCAGAGACACACCAGCTCTACACAAACCAGCAGTGACACCTGACAGTTCCCATAAATCAGCCGCCGTGCTGCAAGATCCCACTGCTTCACAGCGTACAGTACGCATACAGTGGACACTATAAAACACCCTCCACTGGATCTTTCATGATTAGAGACTGGGGTTTCACTTTATTTTGACTTGAACACATTCTGTAAGGTTTCAGACTGGTGGGGTTTGGGTTAGAATGAGCTGACATGTACTTGCAGATGTCTGTTGGGAGACCATCACACTAAAGAGTTAGCAGATGTTAAGCAGAAAGTCTACTAATACTCTAATGAGAGTAAGTTGACGTATGTGCAGCGTTACTTATTGCCAACAGAATGTTCATCGAGACCGGTGTTGTAAATGTAAAAAAACAGCTGTGACGAAAGCCACCTATGATTACATTTTTCTGTACCATTAATAAGAATACTGCAGACAGCCCTGATAGTGATGTGTGATGTGAGTGTGTGTGTGTGTGTGTGTGTGTTTGAGTGTGCGCGTTTTTGTGACAAATGAGGACATAAATTTGTATAATGACAAGGGTATGACATAGGTATTACAAGTGTGTGTGTGTGTGTGTGTGTGTGAGTGTCTGTGTGTGTGACTTCATGTGCATTAATATCTGCAGGTGGTGTGAGTTGAATGTTTCCTGATGAGGATGATGATGATGATGAGGATGATGATGAGGTCTCACCTTTAGCTCCTCGCAGCACAAACCCGAAGCCTTCATTCTCCTGCTTCTGTAAAACCGCCGTTTTCTGCTCGGTCACACAGTCGCTGTGGAGGAAATGACGCGCGTTATTCAAGCCCTTCATCATCATCCTCCTCCTCCTCATCCTCACCGCCGCGCGGTTCATCATGACAGATCATCTGTATCGATCACTCGATGTCTTCGGCGCTGAAGGACTATGATCCGACAGACGCGCTCATTCCTCGCGTCCTCTGCGCTCTTACCGCTAAACTCACGAGCCTCCGGACCGACGACGTCTGACGCATGTGTCACAGACGCGCGTCATTTATCTGTCGCGCCTCTTCAGCTGATCTGCGTTTAGAGTCTGCAGCATCACTGCCAGGAACCTCAGCAGCGCAGAGCATCTTATCTAGTCGTTTAGGAAGAGTTCTTGCTAGTCGACTAGTACTCTTCTGCCTTGTGTTAGACTTCCTTTTGACAAGATTGATAGTTAGGGTTATTATAAACACACTGGTTTGTATTGCAAAAAGTTTTTTGAAAAATGTTTTGAAGATTTGAAAACTGCGCTGTTGAGTGTCAAACATGCATAAAACACCTCATACAAACCAATTGCAAATGTTTTATTGAAAGTGTGATCTCTTAAATGCGATTAAGAAATCAAACTTCCATTTAAATGGGAAGTGTAGGAATAATAAGTGTTATTTGATTAATTACTAGCACAATGGATGCTTTTACAAGCCTGACTGTAAGCCCATGTCAGCTTTGTTCACGCACAGCTCATGATCTAACATAGTCTGCAAGCTGTGGATGAATCCATATCTCTGATCCACAGATCATTCCTGCACATTTCCAAGTCAAACTGAAGTGAACAGTAACATCAGTTCCCACCGGGCTGCTGTTTTTCAGCGTAAGAGTCCTGATTCTGCAGTGATTCTGTAGGGAAGAGTCATTTCTGCAGGTGAATTCAATGCACACTGAATCTGTTGATCATCCCTAGACCCTTCAGTAAAATATGACTGATAAATCCTCGTGTCAATAATCCAGATCGCACAGGTACGTCTGCAAGAGGTCTGTTAAAGATCTCTTCATCTGGAAAGCATCTGCTGTGTACAAAACCTCTGATAGACGTCTGTAAGATGTCAGTTTTACATTCACTCTAAATCATAAACATCTTAAAGACATCTTCTAAACGTCTATTTGACATCTGATAGGAAACGTCCTGTAGACGTATTGCAGATGAGCAAACACTCTAAAAAATACATCTTGCAGATGTAAAATAGACGTGTCAGTTTTAGCGGTTTAATATAATATCAAGGTTTATTTCTGGGTAGACGGGACTTAATAAAATAAACATCCATTGAGGCAGTTTAAAGCCTAACACTACTTGCTGCAGTAAAATCACTTTAACACGTGCTCTCATAGACTATTGCCTTATTATATAAGCTCTAAAATATTCAAACAAGTTCATTATAATTGTCAAGATTTCAAAGACATATGTGAGCCTGCAGCACAAAAGCAGTGTTAAGTCGCTGGGGTATATTTGTAGCAATAGCCAACAATACATTGTATGGGTCAAAATTATACATTTTTCTTTTATGCCAAAAATCATTAGGATATTAAGTAAAGATCATGTTCCATGAAGATGTTTTGTACATTTCCTACCGTAAATATATCAAAACTTAATGTTTGATTAGTAATATGCATTGCTAAGAACTTCATTTGAACAACTTTAAAGATGATTTTCTCAATATTGTGATTTTTTTTGCACCCTCAGATTCCAGATTTTCAAATAGTTGTATCTCAGCCAAATATTGTCTGATCCTAACAAACCATACATCAATGGAAAGCTTATTTATTCAGATGATGCATAAAACTCAATTTCAAAAAATTGCATTTAAAGTCACATTTAAAGCCTGCTGTGCTTCATCATTTAAGGATGCGTCTCCTGTCTGAGGATGTGTTTTTAATGAAAAAGCTCATGCTAGAGGAATAAATCGTCCTTGATCTTGTGACATAAGAGTTCATTGCATATAAAAACGTAAAAACTTGAACTGAATTGATCTGAATAATAACTCTCTTGTCTTTTTTAGAGCTGCTTTACAGCAGAGTTAGAATTTCCGTGAAGCTGTACAGTGCTGTGACTTGAAGGTTTTCTGAGAAGAACCGCTGTATGCTTTCAATCAGGTCCGGTCGAGGTCTTACCTGTCAATGCTGTCATAGGAACCAACAGTGAAATGTCTGAAGAGTTTTTTCCTGTCGCTGCGCTCCATTCTGCTCTCTGGTGAACAAATGACAGCATTATAACAGATCATCTTATGGTGAAGAGCATCTGAAAGGAGTCATTACTGCCTTCAATCAGCAACCTCTGCTCATTGCACGCACTCGTTTGAGCTTACAGAAAACATTCATTTAGCAAAGGCTTTTAACTTCACAGGTGAAGAATAAAGACTGAGAATGAGACTGATGGAAACAGTCCTGTGATGGTCTCTCTCTCCACAGACACTCTTGAGCGACTTACTTGGTCTCTCTTTGTCAGGTTTGACAGGAATCTCTTCCAAACACCTGGCAGGGAACCAGCCCACCTGCCCTCGACAGCAGCCCTCCCAGTAACCGCCTTCACCAACGCTCAGAACTGGACCACAAACAAGAAACCAGGCGACTGAAGGAAGGGAACATGGTCAGCTGAAAGGAGAAATGAGAAATTCACAGCGCTGACCTCTGACCCTTTCATTCTTGTGCAGGCTGATTTCTTCAGCAGCTTGAGGTTGGTATGAGCGAACGACGACGAAATGACGGCCGGGAACAGCGCTGTACAGCTTTCTCCTGGAGCTCTGGCCACACGGCCTGCCATTGACACTGCAGGAGCAGAAACACATTCAGAACTCAGAACTGCAAAATTATACTCATATATTCAGAAACGTAAGTGGGATAATAATACATAAAACGTTCAAATATAAGACACATTACTGTCATTTAAGTCATGGAAGAGCTCCCTCTGCTGGAGGAAGGATAACATGACAATACCAGAAACATATGTTTGATATCAAAATAGTCGACAGAAAGTCAAGTCTTCAAGGAAGATCAGCAAGCAGGAGATGAAGTGATGATAAAAATGAGCGGCGCTTACTGAATAATCATAGTTTTTCATGATGCTCTGTCAGACTTCAGCTGAGCAGCATAAATTCATAAAGTGTTAATACACCGAAGCAAAGGCAAAAATGTGAAAATGTAAAAATAATACCTGTCAGGGAAAGTTGTGACAGTAGGTATGGTAGGTTGAAACATTATTAGAAAGCATTTACGCCAGTAGAAATTTTGTACGTGCATTGATTTCAATCAAATGATTTTGATAACCCCAGGAAAAAAAAACATATAAAATACAAACAGCTTCACATCTGTTAAACGTGCATTGGATGGTAAATCAGTGAGATGGGCGCCTGATTGTCCTGTCCTGAAGATGAGTAAAGAACTGTTGCATCAGTTTTCTCTTATAATAATTAAGCCAAGGCTGATTAATTGAACTGAATGTGTTAACATGATTAAATATTTAGCTACAGTCATATGTGTATGTACGCTCCTGTTTGGTGAACTCTACCGTTTCTGCTGCGTGCTCTGCTCGTCCTCCAGGCTGATGGACAGGGAACGGCTGCTCGGGACGGTCCTGCCGCCGCGGCCCGTCATCTTTCCCCGGCCTCTCGGGTCTCTCTGCATCTTCTGCGGGGACAGACTGAGCTGCTCCGGACTCACGGCTCGCGTCATCAGGTTATTGTCGCTGTTGGAGCGCAGCAGCACCCGAGACATAGAAAGATTGTTCTTCTGGAGAGGCCGTCGCTGTCTGGAGTTCAGCGGGACCTCGGGGAACCGCACTGAGACGCACACACACACAC